GGGTCAGCCCCCCCTCCTCCCCCGCCCGCAGAAGGGGGGCCCCCCCCCCAAAAAGCACCCCCCCCCCCCCGCACCGCTCGTTGCTGGCAAAGAAGGGGGACTGGAGGCACCCACTGGGGCAAAATTCCATGGCAATCTTCACTTTTGCTGGGTTCTCGGTGCCAGCAGGGCTCTGAAAGGACACTTTTTTTGGGGGGGGGAGTTCTGTTAAGGGACACCGGTTCCCACAGAAGAAGGTCTGCCTTAGAGGAAGACAGAAGAGAAGCTCCGTAGCTTAGGGCTGAACTGGGGGTCCTTGGCGCTCTCCAAACTTGGCTATTACCAATTACCAAACTAGGTAACATCATCATTAGAGGAAGTTTTCAGGTATGTATGCGTGAGTTTCGTTCCAGTGCAAAGATCAATTAATTTGTGGAGGGAGGAGCCTGAGGAACCCTAACCCTAACCACCTGAGATCACTCCTTATGGGCTCATTTTACAAGGCCCAAATTGGGAAATCAAAGGTGCTGCTTATGGGTGTGATGAAAGGCCCCATTAGCTGGCTGCATACAATTCTGTACTGCTCAGTATCAACAATTCAAGGGCAAATGTTTGATTTTTTCCCCCCTTGATTGGGCAAAATCAATTGACTTTTGCATTTGGAAGGTTTTGATGCTGCAATAGGACTCCCCATAGAAAACCCGATTCTCCCCATGAGGATCATTTTCACTTTCTTTTTTGATTGAGCTAAGTATCATTTAAAAATTCCCTAGGCAACATAGTAGCAAAATTAGAAACTGATCTTAAAAATAAACGTAAGAAATAATAAAGGTAATAATAATTAAAACCATGCTGTCTTATTATACAATACTGGAATATACTCGGCCAAATCAAGACTGTACATGTGAAGTAGAGACCAGCCCACCCCCATCCCTTCCTCCCACTCCAGCCAGTCATTTGCTCTTTTTCTTAAATAAAGGCAACGCCCCCACCTTGTGTGTATGTGTGTGTGTGTGTGTGTTTATACTCCGTATGAATTATCAAAAAGGAGGACAGGGAATTGTCAATATATTTATTTATTGTAGAATTCAATTGCTAGGACAGGGATCCCCAACCCCCAGTCCACGGACCGGCACTGGTCCACGGCAGGCCATAAACCGGGCCGTGCACACAAGCGAAGTCTCATCCGCAAGATGCAGGCCATATGCCAAGCCTCGCCCTCCCCCCTCCGATCTGTGGGAAAACCTCTCTCTTAGGAACTGGTCCTGGTGCCCAAAAGGTTGGGGGCCGCTGCGCTAAGATGATGGTGAGGTTACTATTCAGAAGGCTTCTGGGTCCTGTTTTTCCCTCCTCTGCCATCCGCATGCGATGGGCTGAGGTTGAACCTTCCTTCCTTCTTTCAAAGCAGCCTTCCACCCATCGGGGCTCTCAGCATTTTTCCATCTCAGGAAGGTTGCCCTTTACCTGGCCTAACAGTCCAGACACCCGGCAAAAGGAGTTAAGCGTGAAGGAAGAGGGCTGGTGGCATTTTCCCTGCTGGAGCCAGTGCACAAAGCGGAAGTTGCCATTGACCCGTTCCAAGGCATCCTGTTTGGAGCTGATCCTTGTGGCTGAGCTCCCCTCTAGACTCAGCTGAGTAACTTGTGCTTGGCCTGACCTGCCAAGAGTGGGATTGGTGCAGGGCCGGCTCCACTGCTGAGGTAGCTGGACGCCTGTTCCTTTTGCCACAGCCGAGGGTGTCGGGGGGGTGGGGGTGGAATCGCACAGACGAATCCAAAAGACACCCCAGCAGCTCCTGAGTCCTTTCCAGTCAATTGCTGCCTCTGAGGTGAAACGGGTCCAAAGATGCCCTGGAGGCAGCTGGGACCAGGAGACAGAATAAAGAGCTTGCTCTGGGTGGAGCCCAGCAGGTGGAAGGGAGACCAGGGCCCCTGGCCAAACTGTCCTTCCCTTCCGCCATAAGAAGGACAGCCCTGGTTTTGTCAGGGACCTGTCCACCACCACCACCACCACCACCACCGGAAGCCCTGCTCTTGGGCAAGAGTTGGGAGGGTAGGTGGGGGCGGGGAAGGGAAGGAGCAGTTTGTTTACTGCCAGTTTTTATTTCTGGCCATTGCCTGATGCGCTGGGATTTTATTGTTTGCTTTGTGTGTCAGAACAGAGATCGGGAGGCACAGCGGGGCCTAACAGACAGCAAACAAGGGCTTTAAAGGTGGCTGGCGCTGGGGGCAGAGGTTGCTTCAAGCTGCCCCAAGCCTTCCTGCTGAGCTCCAGCAAAAGACGGGTGAGCCTCAGCAAGGCGGGGGTGGGGTGGGGGGGGTCGTCATGCAGGTCTTCCTGGCTGTGTAACAGCATGGACAGGCACAGGTGTCTGTAGCCGGGGGCCGGAGGGGGTTAGTCCAAACAGCCCTGAACCCGGGAAGGGCAGGGGGGGGGGGGGGGGGGCTTGTGGAAACGAAGGAGCAAAGGAAGGAGAGGGACTGTAGACCTCTGGTGCCTTGAGGCACCTTGGTCTCTTGCTGCCCTTTGCCTAAGCCAAAAGTGCCATAGCCCCTCTCCAGCAGCAGGAAAGCCTGTGTTATTTAGTTACCATTTTTGTATGTCTGTTTCTCGTAAATAATCAGTACAGAAAACAAAAGAACCCCTAACCAAACTTAAAAATATCCCAATGCAAAAGAAAAAAACAAGGCCCTCTATACCAGTGTGAGAGCATCCTGATCCTAAGGGGGGGGGGAAGGCAGGTTTCAGCCGTTTTCTGGATGGCTAAGAAGGTTGAAGCTGTTCCATAGGTGCAGAGAAGGCAGACCTCCTCAGTCCCATAAGGCTGCACCAAGGGGAGCTGCCTACCTTGTCAGATCCCTTGCAACAGGTGGAAATGTCTGCTCTCTTTTCACTCATCGCTGAATTTGCTCCCCCGATTGGCCAGATATCTCAACATTTCCCCACCCCACCACCCCCAACTGCTTATTGGCAAAACAAAGCAGACTCCGTGTGTGACGGAGGGGATTCTGAAAGTCTTGCCTTTCCTCCTCCTGGCTTTACCTTCACCTGGCCAAGGGCAGCACAAAAGGAAAAGGTGAGTGCAAGGCTGAAGCTGAGCTCTACCCTGGGCTGCCATGTTAGCCTTGGGCTCTGTGTCCACCGCTGTCCTTCTGCTAGGGATCCTGCTGTGAGAAGCCTCTCAGGAAATGCCGGGGAGTTGGCCCTGACTCTCCTGGGCTGTTGACAGATTTGCATTCTCTTCTGCTTTATTTTTCCACATGATTGTTGGAAAATAATTTACCTCCTGGCTTGTGATTGCCACCTATTAGGAAACAGCTGCTAATCTCTCCTAGCCCATGAATAAAATAACTATTTTAAAATCAAATGGCTTAATCTAATCCAATACGTCTTCCCATCTAGATCTGGCATACCACCTTCAAGTAAGTGTTGACTCTGAGCAACTGACAAGTCACTGGGGCTTTCTTGGCAAGGTTTTTCAGAAGTGGTTTGCCAGTGCTCCTTCCTAAGGCAGAGAGAAAGGGACTGGCCCAAGGTCGCTGACCTGGCTTTGTGCTTAAGGCAAGGCTGGAACTCATGGCCTGGCGGGATGTCTTCACCACTACACCAAACTGGCTCCACAGTATAAAAGCCATCATTTCTGCATTTCTTTTACGTGGGATTGAGATTCCTGCAAACCCCCCCCACAAGCCCTTTTAAACCATGGTTTATGTCTTGAGCATGTGTAAAGCAGCCACTTTGGCTTGTAGTGTTGATGTATTTGTGTTCAGCTGGGTTTGGCCAGACTAGCTTTAGCGTGACTATTCTCAACCTGCTGTCCAGATGTGTTGGATCACGTTTCTTATCTAACTTTTCTGTGTATAGAACTTTCTGTAGTTAACAAACAGATGTCCTGTGTGGATATGCCATTTATTCATAGCAGTATCAAAATATTGTAATTTAACAATATACTACTAGAGGAAAAATAGAGCTTCCACAGGCTGCAAAAGAAAACAGTTCCAATGGTACCAGAATGATGCCACATATGGTTTTATTGACATTTATTGAACAAGAGACATTCTCAGTCCGATTACTGAATTAACCCAGGTTCCTGGTTCAGACAATATACAGAGCTGCAAATTAACAAAAGGGAGTTTCACAACCAAACCAAAATATCCCAATCCAGCCGAGGCAACAAGGATCAAGTCAGTGCCAGGATGTGGAAATGCAGGTTTCCATTCACCTGGCGAAGCAGGATTGTGCGTGTAGCCTGTGCGGCTCTCCCGTTTGTTTTTGCCCGGCTCTTCAGAAGAGGAGCAAAGTTGAGAGAAGGCAGCCCAGGGAGGCGGCTCCTGAGGAAACCGCCCGAGACACAAAAGCCTCCGTGGGCAGACCGGGAGAGACCGGGGGGGGGGGCTTTCAGAAAGGGCTCCCAGGACTCGGCGAGGGGACACCCGCCCCCCGGGGGCCCTCCTGCTGCTGCTGCCGCCGGGGGAGGGCGGGCTCTTGAGTGCCACCCCTCGCTTCCAGCGCTTCCACGACGGACGCCCGTTGCGTTGACCGCGTGTTTTGGGCCGCTGAACGGTCAGACTCGACGGCGCGTCCAGGGGGCGCTCCGACCTGGAGCCGCTACTCCCCCTTTTTTCCCGCTTGGGTGCCACGCCTCCCTACCCAGGCCCCGCCCCTTTAGCAAGAGCGGATCTGCCCTCGGCTCCGCCCTCTTGCCGCCTCCTGCGAGGGGGGAGCCGAACGGACTAATTACTGCGCCACTCCCTCCGCGACCCTCCCCCCCCGGGGCCGCTCTAGTGGCGCAAGCGCAGAAACACTCCTTCGCGCCGCGATCCCACCCTTCCCCCAGGCACTGCAGGCCCGAGCGCATGTGCGCTCCAATTTCCCTCTCGGTGAGCAGGGGTCGAAGGATCCCGAAGGCCGAGGATTTCCCCACGTTCTCGGGCGGGGCGCATGCGCCTTGCACTCGCCGCCGCTTTCTCGGTCTCCCTCCGGCCGCCGCTCGCGCTCGGAGCCGGGCGGCGCATGCGCAGTGCTAGGAACGAGGGGGCGGTCCCGCTGGGCGGCAGCCACAGGATTCCTGTCAGGAACGGCGGCGGCGGCGGCTGGAGTGGCGCCCGCGGAGCCGCTTCTTCGTCCGCCCCCGCAGCGCGGCCCCGGAGCGGCGATGCCCTCGGACTTCATCTCTCTGCTCAGCGCCGACCTCGACCTCGAGTCGCCCAAGTCCCTCTACTCCAAGGGTGAGTCGGCCGCCGAGGCCGCGCAGGGCCTTCTCTGCGGCCGGCGCCGTCCAGGCCGGAGTGCGGGCGGCCGCGCGCTTGGAGCCTCACAGCAGGCCGGCGCACGATGTCTGCGCGAGCTCCGCCGCCGCGCGGATCCTCCCGGGGGCCCAGAGGCACTTCCCGAGAGCAGCCCGGCGAGGCCTCGCTCGGTGCCGCCGGCGGGGCGAAGGAGGCCTGGCTGGCCGCGCCTTCCTCCGGGCGCGGAAAGCGGAGCCGGGCGCGCGGGCGGCACGAAGACCCGAGGCGGAAAAGGCGCCCGGTCAGCGGTGGGTGGGTGGGTGGCTTTGGACGAGGCGCCTCCCCCGGGTGGACGAGGGCCAGATGAGGAAGCGGAGTGGGACGGGGACGCTGGCGGCCCTCGCCTGGCTGCAGGTAGGCACAAAGCCGCCTGCCCGGAACCGACGAAGAGGCGGGACGCCCTTGCGCCGCGAGAGGGGCAGTTAGGTGGTTTAGGAACCCCGCAAAGTCCCATTGAATTTCTCTTGGGGAGGGGAAGGAGGGGACTCGAGGTAAGCAGCAAGGGGGCGACCTTAAGCGTGAAGAGCAAATGAAAAGGTGAACTTGTTGAAAATGCCTGTTATTATTAACAGAAATGGTCTCTTATGACAAATATGTGTTGGGCATTACCGTTTGCTCAATATTGCTTCAATCAATCTTAGCAGTCGCTTCACATTTTTATCAAGCTGTTGATTTATCACAGCTAGGTTTGAATTTGGAAAGGTTATTTTCAAATTGTCATGTTTGTTATACATCCTTCTCTTAGTTCCTTTTCTGTGGAATATACTTTAAAAGTCTCTACTTATTACAAATAGTTGTTAAATCTTTAGCAAAAGCTATTCTGACAACCACAGATGACCTTTTATTTAATATAGATCAGTGATAACAATTATCATACTAAGAGCATGTGGTTGTGATAACCAAGCAAATATACATAATCTTACAATGTATTTGCTTTCAGAAATAATTCTGAAAGAATGATAGTAAATATTATTCAAGTAGAACATCCTAAGTAAACCTAAAATACTGATTGCTGCAAATGCATGGACTGTTGTATGTTGAAGTATTAGTCATTTTGTAAATAAACACAATTTCAATAATTTTCATACATTTTTTAGCATTCTTCTCAGTTTCTCATAATAAAATAGCCGGTACTTTGTTATATGAATGGTAACAAAACTAGAAAGAATACATAAAAGTACAAACAAGTGAGATTTGAAAGTGTGTGTAACAAATAGATATGCATGTGCATACACCCAGACACCATATATGTAACATTTTATATACAACAGAGAAAGCTCTGCGGTTGTTTGTGGGATCTACTGGAGCCTCTCCCAGCTTAGGAGTCACAGCCCGAAGTTCTAGCATTGCTGGATTGCTTTGGTCTTTCCACATCCTCTGGTTCAGGAGTGTCAAAAAGAGCAGGCCCTGGTACTTCTCCCTCTGATGTTGCTGTCCCTTGATACTGCTACCTCTCTCCCCATCACTGTCTTCTGGTCCTCCTCTACTGCCATGATGTCTGATTGATTGACTATTACCTGCCTGTTATCTGGATCTGAAAATCCTACAGGATCTTAGCTCTCTTATTGTCCCCAACCTTCTGTGGAATCTCCCATTTGTATTTGTGAGGGTCTAGACTCTAGCCCATACCTTGTGCAGATGTTCCTGTACACAATGTCAGTTACTTGATTATGCTGTTCCTGCCTGCTGCCACCATTTGTGGGCTGTCCCTGAGGCTTCTCTGCATAGTTCTGGTAGAACTTCTGCGGCTCTGGTGCTTAATGCCTGTTCTTCTGCTGCTATGATCGGTTCAGCCCTTTCCAGTCCTGTTAGGATTTCTCAGAATTTCTCAGTACCTCAGATGTTTGTCCATAGTACATTGCATCAGGATCTCATGGCAATTCCTCTGCTTGATCTCACTCTGCATGTGTGAGTGGGTATAACATTTCTATATATTTAGCATAACATACTTTCACCCAAAAGGTAGCAATAAAGAAAGCAATGTAGGACATTTTAAACCACGTCTGCCTTTTATCTAGAAGTCTTATCTGATTGAGTGACTTTATTTCCTTCTGTTATAAACATCAACACAATTTAAAAATAGACTAAAGGAATAATTTAGTGCTTATCTAAGTACTTTCTGTAATACATGCTTCATCTTCACTGTCATGTGCTTAAGGCAATGTATAATGTAATCAGTCTTGCAATGAGCTTATAAAGTAGATTCTGGTAGGAGTCAGGGATGGCTCTCAGGGAGTCTAATGGCTGAATGGAGTTTTAATTCAGGTGGTCTTAGATTGATGCTTGGACTGCTTGGATCAGTTGCCAGAGTGGATATAGTAAACCATATAATGCACAAAATATATTAATATGGTTTAGACCACAGGTGTCAAACTGGATTTCTTCGAGGACCAGATCAGCATTGTAGTTCTCCGCGGACTGGCTGGGCGGGAGGGGGGGAGATGGGTCAGGTGCTTCCTGCAGCACCCTGCTGGCCAAGACGGGGCCCATGCCCCGTTTTTGCTAGCAGAGGCACCACTGGCTGGTCCTTTGTTATTTCCAGGCCGGCCCTGTGGGCCAGATTTAAGCACCGTGCAGGCTGGATCTGGCTCGCCAGCCTTCAGTTTGACACCCTTGGTTTAGACTGCAAATTCATTTTGTGGCATTGATTTGGTTGGTATAGTTGGTATAGTTGGAAGTTTACAAGTCAAAGATGTGGCAGGAAACTAGGAAAATAAATGGTAGTGATGGAAATCTATTTATCTTGGCTGCCACAATAAAAACAAAACTATTGCTTTTCCTACTCATTTTGCATTGCATCTGTTATCATTTATATCTTACATTATAATCATAGCAGCAATATGGATTTAAAAAATTCTTGTATGATAACATTTATTGAAATGTACAATTTATTCAGTGGCTTGCTACATTCAATAATTACTGGGAAACATAATGATAAAATGTTTTTGTTTTAGACAGTTGAAGTTTAATTTAGCAATTTATATGAATAATTGATCCCTGATTCAGTTGCTCATAACTGTAGCTTTCGTATTTTTAAAAGATAAATACAAAAACCAAATACATAAGCATTCCTGTCTAACCAAGAACAGTGGCATGGCAGGGAAATAGCATCGATGGACTTTCTTAAGTAGACTGTTTACTACTGAACAGACTATAAACCGAGAAACACTTCAGTAATAGCAAATCTATTTATAGCCATCTCTACTGAGAATTTGGCACGGACTTTTTGAGTATGGGCATTATTGGAGAGCAGAAAGGGGCCTGGACAGAATCCGAATGCTCCAGCGTTAGGTGTACGCGCCTGGCAGTTTGCCCTAGGAGGGTAGAACCATCAGAGGTTTCCCAGTCTCCTTAATCCCCAGCTTACTTCCAGAGACGGGAGAGAGATTTGGCCTGGTGCTCAGCAGGTAGGGAGCCTAGCTGACCTTGACTGATATTGAAGGCCCAAATAAAAAGGGTTGCATTTCTCAGCTGATACTTCAGGGCTTCAGTCTGGGAAGTTGAGAAAGATACCCCGAGAGAAGGCAGTAGAAAACCTGCCAAGAAAATTAGCAATAAAAATTTACCAAGATAAACTGAGCTCATCTCAAAAGAGAATCTGTTTATCAAATTTGTATGCTGTTTTCATCTCATGGTGTGGTTTTTATGTAAAAGAAGGCTAGCAGTGGATCACGATTCTTGGTTTACTTTCTCTCCTGCTAAGGTTCTAATGCCTGCTTTTAAGGCCATCCTCGTTGAAGCAGCACTTGTTGGAGTTTTGCAAAATTCAGACTAGTTTGCCACTAGTTTAATTGAGAAATGGCAAATAAGTACTGTAAACACAGGGAAATAGAATTGTTTGCTTAATCCCACGATTGGAAATTAGGAGCTCCCACAAATCAGGGGCCGCAGGGAAGTAGGTGTTCCAGTTTGATTATTAGGAATGAAAGAATCGATTTACTCTTACATATATTAGATAGACATCCTGATAGTATTAGCAATTATTAGAACTGGAGAATATTTAATTTGTGTCTATTTGTCTTTAGATCTCTAAAGCTATCCCTGAGCCATTTCCCATGCTTGTCCAAGCTGCTTTCCTGCTGCATCATATGCCTTTCGTACTGGAACAGTATAACACACTTCAGAAAAGTTTATTTTTGTTGAATGCTTAAAGCATTCATGATTAAACTAAAGCACACAGTTGTGTGTTGATAGTAAACGGTATCTATGTTAAGTACATTTGCAAATGAAGAACAGTAGGAAATCAACATCAGGGTTCTGTTCTTGGACCACAGCTTGCGCATAATTGGTTCTGAAGAATAACTGATATGGAGTTGAAATAGAAGGGCCTTTGATCCACCCATCCCATTTCTTCCATTTAGAAGCCCAAGGCTGAGTAAATAGCATTCTCTCTATATATTTTCCCCCATAACCACCATTATGTGATTATTGTACATAGAAATAATTTATCTTCCATGACTGAGAGGGAATTTCAGCCGTGGTCTCAAGTCCAGTACCTTAAAGACTATCCAGCATTGTTCACCTTTGTCATTGCTGATCATTTCTTCAAGCTTAAGTAGGGTTTTTTATATTGCAAGTGTTTGCATTCATGGTATAGGTTTTTCCTTTTAGTTCTGTAGGTCACGTGTCCCTAATTATGGAAACAAAAGAGATCAGTGAAAAAAGGAGACTGAACTTCTTGCCACATATTTGGCCCTTACTCAAGCAGATGGATTTATTTTAAATCCTCCAAGCAAATGAAAATGGGAAATGCCTGATTGGAAAAATGCAATCAAAGAATAAAGTGTTGCTCTATCTTTCAAGTCTAACAATAGTATACATTGTATCAAGCAAAGTTTGGAAATAAGGTAATAATAGAACTTCGGTGGTTTTGTTTTGAAACTTTGGTATTCTTATAATAAGGCCTTGCCTTTTTGAAGTTTATAAAATGTTGCACTATTTTAATTCCACTATCTGGAAGTAGATGAGCTTAATTCATTAAGGAACGGTAGAAAAAGATGATAGTTTACATGTTGAATGTCTCTCCCCCCCCCCTTTTTTTTTTATTCTTGGCTGCTGCAATCCTTTTAAAAGTTAATGTACAACCAGTATCTTTTCCTGCAATTTTGCCAAACATAGCGAGATCTACACCATAACAGAAAAAAGAATACTGATTTGCCAAATGGCAGCAGCAGTTGACAGAATAAATATTATCTAAGAATTGCTTCTGAGTTCAGTTAAGTCAGCAAGTTGGGGGAAGTCCTTTCTTATACTAGTCTTAAAATGAATAGTTATTGTCCAGCAGAAGCTCATAAATATTTGTTTGGTTCACTAACGGCATTCTTTGTGATTGTCCTCAGTCATGCAGAGTGGACTTTGGAAAAAGGCAGGATCATCTTTCATTTATGCAGGGCTTGGAGAAGATAAGATTAAAAGCCAGCCCTCCTGTCGCTCCTCGGGTTTGTTTCTTGCTTGGAAATAAAAATGGAAATAGAACTTTAAAATGTAGAATTGAATGCACTCATCCCAAGGAGCTGGTGAATGCATTTCTGGATCCCTGTGCTCAACCTGTGGTTTATGAGCCATCTAGTGATCAGAGTAGAATTGAGATTTAGATGACTATCTCTGTATATTTCTTAAAAGAATGTACTATAATGGTATAAACTGGACCTAGGACAAAATGTTAAAGTCTGAAACGTTTTTTATGTGGGATTTCTAACATTCATATTTAGTTGAAACTTTTTCTGATAATTATGATACTAATCTGATCCATCAAGTGGAAAAATGAATTTTAGGAGAAATGTTGCATTCTTTTCTTCAGTTTTATTTTCCAAATTGTATAATGTTTTAATTTGAAGTTCTGCTATTCAGAACATTACAGGCCTTTTCCAAAAGAAAAATTAGTCATTAATTATTTGAAGACCCAAATTTCAGAATGATTTAAACTGATGGTTTTTTTTTTTACTGATACATGACTTAAAATATATGTTAAACTTCTCAAAGACTTCACTCTGCCAAGCTACCCAAAATGAAAAATAGGTTGAACATTTCTATGCCTTGTGTGGTTGTGTCATGGAACTAGGATATTGAAGGAAAGAAGGAAAATGTTTCTGCCAGGAAAAAATGTTTTGGGTCCTGTGGTGGTGATTGTTTCATTCTTCTCTCTAAAGGATAATCTTTCATCTTGTGCAGAGTAGGTGAGGTAGAGGAGAATCCCTCCCGCAGGCGTTGCTGTTCAGTAGCTGAGCTTAATGCTCTGTCCTCGGTCAGCATGCAGGGCACCAGTCCACATTTTTCTTCCATCCCAGGTCTTGTACAAGGGCTTATTTAATAATATGGCACGGAGAAAGTAAGTAAAGCTAAACTGAATGCTCGTTGTTCATGCTGATTTGAACCACAAACTAACTCAAGGCTTTGCTTCTGAGTCAGACTCAAAAAACTACTGGCATTTCTACTTACTTGATGGCCTGAGGGCCTAGAAAGTAATCCATGCATGTGCAAATTGTCTTGACCTCAGTGAAGACTGTAGGAACATAATAACTGTGATAGTTGTGATATTAAATTATTGGTTAATTTTTTAAAACTCAGAATAGGACAGGTTGATGAAATAAATTAAATATAAGCCTGTATGATCATGCTGATGATCTAATTAAATAAAGCTCATAAAAGTAGGTATAACATTATACTGTATGCATAAATGTTAAAAAATGTCCTAAATAATTGCTTGCTTAGATAGAATCAAAACAATCACATTTCCGGAATCAGATTTGTGCAACAAGAAATTAGTTGTAGATTAGTACACATATTGAGGGAACTTTTCATGAGAATCAGATTGTAGAAAACAGAATACAACAGAAAGTAGGACAAAATTCTTTCCCATAAAGTTTGATTTTTTTTGGCACAAAGCATAATTAGAGGAGTAAATATATAAATAGGTATTTAAATATATAAATATATGAAAGATTGGATCAAAGGTATTTGGTAATGGTTTTAACTGTCAGACAACATTTTTGCTTTTATTTGTCATGCAAAAATATGTATCGTTCTTCTGTAGGCTTAAAATATGCATGTTTCTTAACAATTCTGGTTTTACATGGAGATTAGTGACCACTGCCATTATTTCCTTTATTTATGTTTTGTTGTTAAATAGCAGCGAACATTTGGTTTGGATCATAAATGCCTCTATTTCTCATTGGCAGAATCAGTCTATGATCTCCTCCCTAAAGAGCTGCAGCTGCCACCTTCCAGAGAACTCTCAGTAGCATCCATGAGTCAAACCAGTGGGGGCGAAGTGGGTTCGCCCCCTCCGGGCGTAGTTGCTGCTGGTAAGTACTTCTTTTGGCTTAGATTAAGTTTTTAATAAATATGAATATTATTAAACATATGAGCAGTGCTGGAAAAGTTTGCAGATATATATAAAAAAGCAACACTGGATATGTTATTGCCCACTTCACCTTCTTCTCCAAGCCTTGTTTACCTTTTTAAAAATGTGGTAATTGCTAAATTATAATTGAGATGGAGTGTTAAATATACCTCCAACACATTATTTTTGTTAGAGAAGAATTAAAGAGAATCAAAGTACTAGCTTTAATTAAAACACATTCCTTATAATTTGAATATTTAGTTACCTAGGAGTTATATGAAGGGACATCAGCTAAACAGAATTTAAAATTACCGTAAATTAAACTGAGAAATAATTTGGAAGTCTCCTACTTAAAGTAGACTTTAAAGTCTTTTCTCCTATTTTTGTTTTTATTTTATCTTCGAGACTTCTGGAGGGAGTTGCCTGGTATAAGCCTGTCTTAGACAGATTTTACCTTGGAATCATATATATTTGGAATAGATTTCTTCATAGTTCTGCTCCCGATTCTTCCCACAAAGCTGCTGCCAGGATTTGGCAACTGTCCGCTTGATTTGTGAAGGTATAGCTTGAGTCAAGGTTAAATACTTTGCAGCACTGCTCACTGTTCATGGATTTGAAATTTTTTCCTCATGAAATCTGTGGATTTAAGTGTAGATTAGGGAGGCTAGTCATTAAATTCAAAGAAGCTTTTAGTTTTAAAAAAGTCTTGAAGCATACTTTCCTTTGATATATAAAGCTAATTAGAGAAAAACAGTTGCAAGAAAATGCTAGCATTTTAAACCCACAGATCTTTATAATGTTTTTCATGTTTGAGCTCATTTTCAAGCATTTGAAAAATTGGCTTAGGAGAACTAGTTGTCTGTTACTTGTCAGCTTTGGTTGTCTGAGTCAGTCCAATTCTTTTCAAAAAGAACATGTGAGTTTGTTCTAAAGAAACGAACATGCAGTAGTAGATTCTCTTGTGTTACTCCACACATTGAGCAACAAATTCTTTCCAAATACATGTATTGTACAGTAGTAGTAGAGTAGAAGTTGTGTATGTAATAGACAGATTTTGAAGTACTACTTTCCAGATAGTTGGCAGTTAAGCAATATTATTTAGTATAATATTGGTTAAATTACTTGACTTAGTAGCTTGTATTTAATGTATTATACTCCCTAAAATATGGCTTTAATAGAAATAATCTCTAAAATCTGCTTTTTAAAGAAAGATAATATATTTATACAGCAGGGCTAAACATAGGAAGGTTTAATTCCAAATGTTGTATACAGTGGAAAATTAACTTGCCCACAAGGCTGGCTTAAAAATTGCAACCTTGCTGTGCAAAAAGAAAGAACACAGAAGGATGAAAACTGGAGAACAAGAGAAATCTATGAGGCAGACCAAGATCTTTTTTTAAAAGTGGGGAAAGTTACAGTCATTTAAGAACAAAGAATAAACTGTATCTTGTGTGTGATAAGAGAAGGACCAATAAGGCATATCTTTAAATGTTCAGCTAACATTTGAATACTGTCAACTGTGCACTAATGACAGTTGTCTTTACATTTCATTTTACATTCAGAGTCCTCCATCCTGAATCAGTTTTACTGTGTCATTGACCAATGACGACCGATGAGAACTATTTACCTTATTTAAGACTTAGCTTCTTTTGTTCTCTGCTTCCTTAGCCATAAGGTGAGCTAATATATGCTTCAAGTCCGGTAACCCCAGGTCTCTTTCATTGCTTTAATCAGTGGTTCTGGAGCACATTGACAGGTTACATAAAATATGCATCCGTAAATTTCCTATTTCTTAAGGGACAGGATTGGCTGAGTTCAAGCATGAGGTCTTGCAAGAACAGACTGCTAGTTCTGCTACTATTGATTGGCTTTTAATTTGCAAATCCATCTAAACCAGTTTAAAGCTAAGACATGAGAATTAATCAAGAGCACATTTAATTGTTTTAGTATAAGAGGAATGCTTCATGTTCATCATTCCAGATGTAAGGTGACTCCTTTATCAAGGATCATGTTAAGCTCTAAAGAGATGCCTCTGTTTCAAAGCCAGAGAACCATAAAGGAGCATAAATGGATATTGGATGCATTACATGATATTGTATTACTAACTGGGACTAGTGTGAAACCAGAGAATGATCCTTACTCTTAATCTCTGAGAAACAGAAGGAGAAGAGGAAGAACCCGTGTTAGTTTATGCCTAAAAGCCAGGAGGAAATGCTTGGATATCATGTGGCAGCCACGCCTTGGCCAGTTCTTCTCCTGTCATTTTGCCAGCGAGCCTGTGAAGAACTGGCGCACCAGTTCAGCTTCTAGTATGTATAAAAATAATTAATTAAATCTCTACTAGCTAATCAAAATATATAAAAGAAGCATAAAACAGGAATAATCCTTGGCTAACCTGAAAAAAGTATTCTTGATCCTGTTAAAAGATAGGTAGCCAGAGTACTTCTTAAAGAAAAGGAAGATACATAATTGGTGTGGAGATGCAAGAGGGGCTTCCTGATGACCTCCTTTAAAATTGTATCTTAAAGAAATTATGGTACCACGGACGCCGGCTTTCTGGGCTGCTTTTCAGCGCTTATATTAAATGCAAATTAAAAAGTAAATGCCTTTGAGTTAATTTTGATTCAGATTGATTCCATGGACATGAGCACGCAAAAAATTGCAATCTCGCAACTCTGATGGCGTCCCATATCCTATCTAAACATTCACCAGGCCTAGCTTTGCTTACTTTTGAGCTCAAAAGATCAGAGTGGATCCATTTAAATTGGAATGATTATTTATTTGTTAAATTTATTTGCCTCCTGTCTTGCCTTAGGCTGCTCTAGGCAGTAGAATATCATATGGATCATGTTTGCTTCAGTCCCATGGATTTTATTGCTTAAATTCTAAACAAGCCTAAAGCGGGAACCAATATAGTATTCTGGCTCCTCTTAGAATAGGCCAGGTTGGCATGTTTGTAACAAGAAGTACGTGGGCATAATCGTAATGTTTTAAAACATCTTCCCACAGTTGCTGGGGCTGTGCATTTATTTAATATTGAAGTATATTCTTCAAATTGATGCCAAGTAATATCTCAAATGAGTCTTGCAAAGCTTTGCATTCTAATGGTGTTTCAAAAATTGGAAAAGCATGCTTCGAAAGAGGAGAAAATAAGTGAACCACTTTATAGTTAGATGGGTGGCATATTAATGTAATAATCAATCAGCAGATAAATAAAAGATCAAGCACAACTTCCTCTAAGTGGTTCAGTTTGTGTTGGAAGTAAGAGTTCATGATGGACAAAGAGATACAAGACCTGCTGCTCTCCCCAATGCCTGCCGAGTCAAATCATTTGCCCGTGGCTCGTGATATGCAGGGCTCCACCCGGAGAGGTTTAGAGGAGGAGCTTCTGTCCGTCAAGTATGATTTCCCCGACCTGGACATTTTTGTTGCTACAGGAGCTGATATTTGGATAGATACCTTAGCGATCAGGCTGCACCGGACTGAGTAGCGGTTTCAGTGCTTTACCAATGCTTACAAGAAGTCTGCTAGGGATAAAGCTGCCTTTACAAACCTCAGAAAGAGGGGGTGGGGGTGGTTAAGTGTCTCTGTCCCTGAGGTAAAATTAAGTCAACCAATAGCACTGGGGGGGGGGGGGGGGGGAAGAAGGCAGGTGCTTGCCCTCTCACAGGATATCCTGTTGGCATCTTCTCAGCAAGGCCCAGTGGCAGCTTCCCAGGGCCCCCCCGCCTCAAAGGACTGAGGGCTGGTCTGCTGGTTGACTGCCTCTAATTATCATTTTTGATTGTCAGACTTCCTAGTCTGAACTGATGAACATGAACATCCAGTTAAAGTTGCAGGTAAGAAATAACAACTTGTGCGTTTGTCAGTACAAATATTAAGTTACTCTGTGTGTCAAAGCCGATTGGATTCTGATTTGATTTTTTAAATGCTGTTACAGCATGTAAATGTAATGGGAAATTTTAAACTATTTGGGCAATAATGTAAGCGATCAGTCTATTCTGAATCTGCATTGAATGTTTAAAGTAAAGGGGGTTGCTTTGGGATATTGCTGGGATGCTAGTTGTTTTCTCTATTAATACACTTAACTTGCATTCTAGCTTCGCCATTCAGAGACAGGCCTCGTGTGGTGGGTTGTGTGCTATCAGTAGTGAAGACAAATAGTACCAGAGACACTAAACCCATCCAATCTCACCCAGGGTCTAGGTCGGTCTTGTTTCAGACTTCTTCATCAGTCTCTCTCCTTTCCTTTTTACTTTGTTTTATAAATAGTGGATTGTCTTAAGTTAACCTCTAATAAAGCTTTTGACATTGTATCAATAAATGAAGCTGGAGAAGATTAGTAAGCCAAAGTTGGCGTGAAGGTATGAAAGCAGATTTGCAGCCACTTTGTCTGTGACTTTGACAATACAAGATCTGGTGTCCCTCTGTCTTCACTTCAGAACTTCTAACTTTTTCTTCACTGACTCTGGAAAGTCAACTCTCCCAGTAATTGGGAAGAATTGTAACCATCAAAAATAAATAAATCAAGATTCCTAAAGATTATTTGTAGGGGGGATTGCCTTTGGAATGGATCCGCCCTAACCCCTGTTTTAGGGGATGTGCACGGTTTCTCTTCGGTCTCCTGAACGGTGAAGGGTATGTGGCAAATGTCTGCCATGCTTCATTCATTGGCTGCTTGTGCACATATTGTTTTGCATGAAAATGCTCAGAAGGACACCCGAGGCACTGAGCCCCCCCCCCCCTATATATGCACTGTGAAAAAGCCACGGAAAGGTCTTCTTATGTCTTCTTAGGCTTCGGCTTAGCCTGTAGAAAAATCTTGTGCCTCTGAAGGCCTTCCCCTCTCAGAGTGCCCTGAACTCTCTCAGAGAATGAAATGCTACTGCAGTAAACAAATTATGCTTTAAGCTTTGCCTCTAAAAATAGCAGTTTCCTCTGTGCCTACCAAAGAGCCCATGGAGGACACGGTGGGGTTTTTGTTTTTTGTTTTAATAAAAGTAAGTCTTCCAAGAGGAAAGACTACTGTTACACTTTATCTAGGAACTTGAGCAGCAGCTGCACATTTGATTAGGCCGGCTTCTCTGCTCCTGATTCCTGAGCTCTAAGATCTCAGTCTCCCGGCTATAAAAATGCACCGGACCTCTAGATTCTATACTCTTAGTCTCTGGAAAGCAGTGAACAAGGCTCAGTTCTCTTTGGAAGTCACTCTGGTACCATAGTTGTAACACAGAAAACAGATGGTGCTTTTTGTATGCTGTGTTTTGCTATCTGCTTGCCTAGAGGCAGAAGAATAATCGGAACAATGCTACTAAAATTGCTGCTGTGCCCTTTTGAACTACCTGGTTTGTTTCAATTGCAGAATGGATAGTATGAGAGTTCCAAGATCTTTCAGTGTGATGATTGGAGGATTTAATTATAAACAATTAACCGTTTTATTGCCACAATACTCAAAATATTTGGCACATGATTATAATTGTAAAAATGGATTTGGTGGCCCTTAGCTTTGTTGATATGTAATATTGCATCTCACAGAATGCATAAAACTAACCCATCCAGCTTCAGTTTTATTAATAATGCAATTTTGATCCTAGAAATTAATTTATGCCCTAAAAATAATACTGAACATTGGAGTGCCCTGTATACACCTGTATTTTAACAGTGTGAAATGAGATTTCCGATAACCCTTTTCCCAGATCCAGCCAATTTTGGGTCATAATTCTTCATGAATGTCAGGTTTAAAGTGACATTTTAACTCCTGATTTGGGATTAATTTGTTTTTGAAGCTGCTTCAGCACCAACTGATCAGTCAAGGTTTTGCTATTACATACTAGACATGAATTCACAGAATACCCTCTATTTCTGCCCTATGAAAAGTGAGCATTCATTCCTTGCTGAGGCATATTCAGTCCCTTAAAATGAAGTCTCCTTGCAAACTTCAAACACAGCAGCAGGATCTCCATCCTAGGTTATCCTCTTTTCTGCTTAATCCCTGTATAGGTAGTCCTCGACTTACAACCATAGTTGGGACTGGAACACACCTGTTGTTAAGCAGCGTAGTCATTAGGTGACTAATCATTTTTTTGCATGAAGTGAATCATGTCATTAAGTGAACCTGACTCCCCCCCCCCCCAATGGAGTTTGCTTGTGGGAAGTCCCCTGGACAGGACTTTGCAACTGTTGTGTGAATTACCTGCCAATTGCCAAGCAGCCAAATTTGGGGCATGCAGCCGCAGAGATGCTGCAATAGTCTTAAGTCCCATCTTCAGAGCTCTTGTAACTTTGAGTGGTCGTTAAACAAATGGTTATAAGTTGAGGACTACTTGCATATCATAATTACTGTGCTTAATTGAAGTAACTAACCTTGCTCATTTTTTCAAGCTTTGAAAGCCTCTAATTTCTATCTTGACATAGTTTATTATATTTGCCCTGATCTATCCTAAGTCAACCTGAAAAACAGGGTTGACAAAATTTTACAGAAACAAAGCTGGATCTCTTGATTTCCTTTGTGTGTAAGCAAAGTCATTTTTTCCTTTTCAAATATCATGTAAAATAATATTTTGGAGGAGTTACTATTTCTTTGTAACATACTTCTCACTTTGTGTTAATATTGTTTAATAAAATCTAATAATCATTGTGTTTCTTGGAAAGATTTTTATTTTCAAGTGAATTCCCTCTTTAGGGAATTAATCTGGCATAATGGTGCCAGTGTGGATTTGGGTGATTGTGCTAATTCCACTTTTTAAGTAGGGAAATGGGTTGTTCTTTTCCAGAAGTGACAGTCTTTATCTCACTTAACAGCAGATAAAAATGGATGCTAGGATAAAAGATTGGTAAAAACATCCCAGGCAGTGTTTTGGACAGTTTACATCAGAGTTGAATTAGTCTTCCTACTTGCTCTTCTCTTACGTAGAAATTCAGAGAGTGTCTGTCACATTTTGCATGGGTTTTCCAACTTGTAGAAAGTATTGTTTATGCCAATGCAAGTTTACAGCATTCTTTCTGCATGTATTTCATAATTCACACAGAATATCTAATCAAAACAAGCCGAATAGCTATGAGTGAATATTTAAAATATACATTTGCTCTATTTTAATAAAGATCACTTCAGAAATGTCAACTTATTCTAACTCAAAAGTGGCTGCAAATCAGCAATTATAGTCACTGAAACAAATTTTAAATTTTTAAAGGAAAGCACTGCATTAATGCATGATATGAAGATTTTTTATAATTAAAATGCAGTTTTGAATGACCGAATTTTCCAATTTCAACCACTGCATTTGTTGAGGCACAAGCTGGAAAATGGAACTGGTATCAGTCAGCACTCTAGGTTATTTTAGCAATTATCTGGCAATGGAATGAGGAATCCTGAGGGAATACCTCACTGTATAAAAGCTAAAATAGAAGATAGTTATGATTCACTCTTAATCTGCATTTCTTCCATTTTTTGATGATGTACTAGTATTTCACTTAAAGTGATCACATAGATAGATAGCCACGATAATCATTTATTTATTTTTGGATTATTTTTTTTTAAAAAGATTGTAATACTTAAAATCAGACTAAAAGCTAAGTATATGCACTTATTCCATTTGAGGCCAGTGGCTCATTAAAAAGTATTCTTTTGCATTAAGAAAAATATTGCCCATTTGTTTCCCTTCTAGAGAAGGTGCCACTTTCAATTCAACGCTTCTGCAATTTATCTGATTTTTCGAGACAAGTTCACGTCAAGCTTTGTTTGGTTCTTGATTTCACAGTATTCTGGAGCAACTCCAGAGGTGTTTCAAAGCCCATTTAATTCTTGAACAGTTACCTTGTTATCCAAGAAGATTTGGAAGCCTATGGGGTTCGTGCATAATCGTTCCTTTCATTTGCGTGAACCTGTCTTGCCTGTTCCCTTGACAGGGGCTGCTCAGGTTGAGTTCCTCATCCATGCTTCCTGCTTGAAGACTATTGAGCTACTTTTGGCTGTGGCGGGGATCTCTGCCTGACCCCCCCCCCCCCCCCCCCCCCCCGCTCTGCTCCCCCCAAGGGCATTCTTTCACCCAGGGAGAGAGCTATAACAGCCTCTTCTCTCAACTTGCTTTTCAGGATCAGGGCATCCTCCAAGTTAAAACCTTTGCTAACAGTGCCTTTTTTTTTGTGAAAATTCATAAATGACAGTTGGTACCAGTTCCATTTGTTGCTATTCAGTTATTTTATATTTCATTTCTCATTTGATAATTGATATCTGGAATAATCAGCAGCTCTCTTCTCATTTATTTTCTCATTATTTTTATTCCAGGATTTGCCTCTGAAGCAGGGAGTGTCTGCATTAAAAATGACCTGTAGTTCTCTGCTTCATAGGTTAGAAACTTACTTTAATACTTCGTGGCTAAGCACAGTCCCAGGTTTTTGAACATGTCAGATGCCGAGCAATTGGCAATAATGTGGCCTAAAATGCACATTCCTGGGGGTTTCTATCGTTTTTGATAAAATGGCTTAAATTCATAGTCCAGATGAGGCAATGAAAGCACCTTTGTTTGCTTGCAACCATTTTGTGACTTACAGATTTTTCTGAAAAGTCTGATTGCTATTATGCACTCAAATAAATATAATTTGAATATCTTTTCTGAAACTTCAGCGTTGCTTAAGCCTTATGTTACTTGAAGCGCTTAAATTCCAAAACAAGCCAAATTCTAAAAGGTTTAATTTGGGGAAAGAATCGGTTCACCAAATCAGGCTCCTTCAAAGGGACTGCTCTAGCCAGCAGAGTTGGGGTCAGGGACCCTGTATTGACTTGTGGATTATACACCACAGATGCTTCTTCAGCTCCCTCTTCCTCCGTGGGCGGTGCTTGCAGCTCCTTTGCCACCTCTTCCGGCCCCACCACTTACTCTACCTCAGTCACTGACAGCAAAGCTATGCAAGTGGAGGGCTGCTCCTCAGCCATGGGGGTAAGTAACCGTGGGGTAAGTGACAAGCCGTTAACCAATAACACAGTCCAGCAGCAGCAGCAGCAGCAGCTACAGTCCACCCCGAAGAGGCACACAGTCCTGTACATCTCACCACCACCAGAGGATTTGCTGGACAACAGCCGGATGTCCTGCCAGGATGAGGGGTGCGGATTGGAGTCTGAGCAGAGCTGCAGTATGTGGATGGAAGACTCCCCCTCTAACTTCAGTAACATGAGTACCAGTTCCTACAATGATAACACTGAGGTGCCACGTAAATCTCGTAAACGAAATCCAAAGCAGAGGCCAGGGGTCAAACCGAGAGATTGTGAAGAATCGACCATGGATATCTTTGATGCTGACAGTGCCAAAGCGCCTCATTATGTCCTCTCTCAACTCGGCACGGAGAGCAAAAGCAACTTGAAAGCAGGAAATGGGTTGGTATCTGCCTTTATGTTCTCTCAACATATGTTAAAGCAGACAAACACATTAAAAGCATAACCTTGATTTTTCCCTAGAGTTCAGCACATATTTTCACTGAGAAAGATGGGAGAGCTGATACTTGATGGTTTCTTATACTAAATGGTTTTGGCCAGCTTAGCAGTCATTGAACAGGAACAGTTGTCAGCTTTTCCTTGTGGAATGTGATTAGCGTGTCATAAGTTTTTCAGTAAGGAACAGGTTTAAAACTGAGCACTTAAAGTTGGAAACAGCTCCTGCATATTTTCTGCAACAGAGATAATTGTGGGGACTTAAGTCCACATTTCACCTGCTTCTGTTTCATCCTCTGCATCAGTTAAAGGCAGCTGATTTTGACATTTTATATTCTGTCTAAAATGTTAAGATGAACCAAATTTGTATTTGTGTCATCTCAGTTCTGTAACTGATCTTTCAGAAATAAATCTCTCCTGTTTTGCTCTGTGCTTCTCAGTTGTGTGTGCGTGTTTGCGCAAATGTTGCCTGCAGCCTGCTTGGGTGGTGGCTTCTCTTCTCTTAGTTTAATTGCATCTTGATTTAGGAACTCTGGTTTGCATCCCCCTTCAAGAGTGGAAAGTGCACAGGTGCATGATGGAAGGAAATTGCTGGGTTTTTTTTCCCCCCAATGGCAGTCCTTACCTTCCTTTGGAATTCAGAGGATCACAAGATCCTCAGTGTCGGCCATGGGGCAATATGAGATGCATTTGCCTGAGAAATCAGCAAGCCTCCACCCTACTGCAACCGACTGCATTGCCTAGAAACTTAGAGAATTCTAATTTTCCTGGGAACAGGCCATACCTTGGGGCGCCCTTTTGTTGGATGCCTCATGTCAGCCAATAAATGTGGAAAGCTCTGATTATAATTTATGTGTGATCCAGGAATCTAGCCTGCTCGATCCTTTGCAAGCCAGTGTTACATGCTTAGGACAAATAATGTCTTCTTCCTCTGAATTTTAACAAGGTGGACAAGCATAGATTTATATTTAAGAAGAGGCAAAAAACACTGGCTGGATGGTCAGGGTTTGTTATCTGTGTCGATGGCAATAGGAACAGTTGGGTCATGGTTGGTAGATAGTTCCTTGTGAGTCAGAATTTTTACCACTCTGGCTTACTGCATGCGAATGGGCAGAACGTCATGCTTTTGAGTTTCTTGCCTCCTTTGAAGGACTTCTCTTGTTTCTTACAGAAAAGGCTATTTTATGTTATCCTTGAGTCAGAAAATATTACATTACGGGGAAGAAAGTTTTGCCATGTAAAGAAAAAGCCATCTTGCTTTGCCTTCTCTGTTGTCCAATACTAGAAATGCCACTTGGAGGAGGTAGGTCACAAGAGACGCCAGAGTGAGGCTTGCCACTAAATGACCTTCCAGGATATGATTATTATGCCTTATTATACAATGTGGCCCCTAGTCTTATATGACCTGTTCTCCTCACGTAAAAATTATTAGAGCCATACAAGGACAACATTGAAATGAAAAGTGCTGATTCTGCAGATATCCACAGTATCAAAAGTCTTCAGATGATATTAAAAGAGGCTATTAGAAGGGATGATTCTTGAAGAAGTAAGTTCCTATGAATGTAGACTTAGAAATCAGCCCATTGAATTCATGCTGCTGACTATTGTTGTACAAGAAGTCAGTGTTGTTTAATTTTTTCCAGAACTGAATGCACTTCAGCTGCTAAATAACTACTAGAATATTTAATTAAAACAAAATACCTTCCTATCATAGAGATTCAGAGGTTGCTTTATACTGTGTCCAGTTGTGCATCTCTTCCATATTTGAAAGAGGAAATGTAGTTGGGTGTGCACTAATTGCTTTAAATGTGCCTTTCCCCAGGACTGCATCCTGGTGCACACTCCCAATCATGTCTACCACTTGGATTCGAAGTGTTGCACAGCCCTAGTGTTTTCCAAGTGCCCCTGGACTAGGAGAATTAGGAATTGATGCTTTTTTCAAGGATTATCTAGTGAGTTTTATGGTCCAAGCAGCAGAATGAATCTGGTATCAAGAGTGTGTGGTGCATATTAAATCTGTGATAAATGAAACCTAATTTGGGGGGCTGATTGCAGAGATGGGGATAAGTTCATAATCATGATCAATTTATCAATATAATTAAATTGTGCAATAGAATTATATAAAGCAGATGTCCTATTTTGGCTGCTGGAGCCCTGATGTAGAGCTCCAAAGAATGCTTTTTTCATGCATTTGGGCTTCTATTGTGGGTCAGAGTTCCTACTTCAGATGACAGGTCCCTGAACCCTGGCTGGAGGCATCGAGAGAGGTTGGGGGCTTTTTGCACAGCAAGGCCTTCTGGAGGTCATCTTTTGAATAAGGCACAGCTATGTTCTCTAAAGAAGGATGGCAGGAATTTGTTACCCACTTCTGAAGCAATAAAAGCCAATGGAAAAGGTGTTGCCTGTATTCTCTAGGCTGCTCTTACATATTTGCATATATTCTTATAAGATGGGAAAATTCGTTGTTTTCAAAATGCAATTATTGTCTAATAATTTTAGACAATAGAAATTAGAATCCTGTGCAACTGCTACTATGTAGCCTGTAGTAAAATAAAATAAGGCAGAATTTCAAGTTCAACAATATTGTATGCTCTGCTTGAAGGCTGGAAGTTGATTTGTAAAACATAATTTACTTCATAGTACACATATTATTCATGAAAGATTAGCTAGGAGAGCTTTAACACATTGCACACCTGTTTTGTAACATATCTCACCCAGTACTGGTTGTCTCTGGAACAGAAATAGAAACCCCATTTTCTTGTATTTTGGATGCCCACCAGACCAAAGGTATCAGGCAGAAACGAACAACAAAATGAGATGCTAGGATCCTACTCTAATTTAGTGAAATCTTGCACAAAAAGGCTAGCTTAGATTTTCAGGGCTGGCAGGATGCTTAGAGGAACAAAGACAAGGGACCAAATGATATAAAATCACAAACCACGGTCCTCCATTTAGCCTAGCACAATCTGCTGCCCACTTGTAGGCTAGCAATTATTGTAACTCTGTTCCTGATCTTGAAGCTGCAGGTGTCATGATAACGTTTTCTGCACTCAGAAGACTGATTTACCTGGACCAGAAACCTAGCTGAGAGAAGCTTTTCTGTCATTTTTACTGTCCCAGAAGTTAGGAAAATATGGGTCAGACCTGTTTGTGACATCCAGAGTCAGGCTGAAGAGTTATTTTCATGGCTCCTCTGGGGTTTACTCAGACAGGTTTTACTTCTGGAACTCCCCTTGTGATGAACCTTTAGCTGGGTCATTTTGCTTCCATTTCTTCCCAAGAGGAGACAAGGCAGTGGCTCTAAAGCAAGGATCTTCAAACTTGGCAAGTTTAAGACTTGTGGACTTCAATTCCCAGAATTCCTGAGCTAACATGACTGGAAGAAGAATTCTGGGAATTGAAGTCCACAAGTCTTAAAGCTGTCAAATTTGAAGACCCCTGCTCTAAAGCAAATAAAGCATTCTGATCCATTGCCATATTGCCTCTGCAAAGGATCAGGAACAAAGCAAGTCTGATAGATAACAGAGAAGTGCAGGATTTCACTTTGAATGCAGGGTGTTACCAATGGGATTCATTTACTTCTGAAAAGACTTTTTTGTGTTGCCAGTAAAAAATATGCATGTGATCAGTCTTTAAATAGCTCCGGAGAACTGCATCAAATATTGTTTTTTTTTTCCAGCCTGGGGGCATGAATTCTTTCCATTAATATATTTGTTCTTAAGGAAAGAAAGAAATAATTGCAATCCAGCTTACTTAAATACCACAATTTCAGTTTCTCTCATTTTAAAATGCATGGAAAGCGCCATACGTGAATGATCGACCTGATATATTAAAAAAATTCAGCAGCCATTTTATACAGGATGTAGCCTAAATGTCCACAGCCTGGATAAATGTGTCACAGTCAATGTAGTTGTTTTAATGTGCTGAAATTAATTATATTTTAAACTTACAATATCGGTTTGAAAATTTATTTAAACATAACTTGCCTAAAGTATATAGCAATAGAGCCTAGGAAGCCTTTGGTCTAGAATTGGTAAGGATTTATTTTAACCCGGTGACATTTATGAAAATGTGTTAGGTTAACTGTTCCAGGAACTAGCATTTCATGCCAGCTGGTGAAGTAAGGCGGGTTGTTTAAACTGCTTACGATTAAAATATAACTATAAATTTTGTCCTCTAATTACCAGTTAAATAGGTTTTTAGGTTTCTGGCTATGTTCTTTCAATTACACGATACAATTTTTGTGAACGGGAAGTAGAGAAATGATGCAGGTCTGCATGTATGTCTCTGGGCCTCCTGGTTTCGCCGGCCATTTCGCTTGTTTGGAAGGAAAGCCCTTTGGTAACTTGTTTACTAATCTGCTTTGATATCTCAGAACCCCAGAAGTCCCCAAGGCGACTGGAGGGAAGAAGAGCCCTATGTTGTGTGGCCAGTACCTGAGTAAAAGTGAAGGCAAAGAGCTGAAGATCCTGGTACAGCCGGAGACTCAACACAGAGCTCGCTACCTCACTGAGGGCAGCCGAGGCTCCGTGAAAGACAGAACCCAGCAGGGATTCCCCACGGTCAAGGTATGCCAGAAGCGGGGAGGGAGGGAGTGGCTGGAAGGCCTGAGCGCCTCCCTTCTCCCTGACCTTACTGCAGTTTCTGACAGTGGGCTAGTCAGGTTTCTCAGGATGAAGGTTGTCACTAGAACAGCCCCTCCAGCCCTCAGGTTTGTGCGTATGTTGTTGTTCCCGGCAAGGACTGGATGTTTTTTTGGTTTAAGACAGGAAAGCCTTTCTAGCTGGGTGGAAGGAGTGTAAATATAGAGCAGGGGCTACTCTTGGCTCTTCATGTTTAAATAAATGCACAGAGCACCATCTGTGCGGCCTCCCCTGAATGAAAGAGGGTGCTGTCACTGGTGTTTCGCTTCAGTCTCCTAGAGAATATTGCAAATATGGATGAACAAAATGTGATGACCCTTGTTTTGTGTATATAAATTGGTTCAAAATATTCACTGACTTTGCATAAACCATAGAGCAGAAAGTGCAGTGGAACCCTGGAGTAATTGACTGAAAAGTAAACACTTAAACACATTAGTTATCTAGTAGTTTTATCTCTGAAAAATGAATATGTGTTTCATTTAACTGCACACTAATGTCCCCTGGATATATACCGTTTCTAAAGAATAGCATTAAATTCTGAAATGGTTTCTGATTTCATCATAAACATTTTTCTACAAGAGTATAATATAGATCTTTGGTTGTTCGGGTTTTCTCCCG